GCAGCAGTGGGACGCGGCGCACATATGGGACGCGGCGCACATCGCGCGCGGCCGTCAATCTGGGCCCGCCCATCCTGACTGCAAAAAACCTATACAAAGTCTCAGTTTGTTCCTCTCAGCATGGCTTGCCTTGTCGCCGACGGTGCGAAATATGTGGCAGGAATGGGACGCGGCGCACATCGCGAGCGGACGTCCATGCGGGCTGCGGGCCCTCCCATCCTGACTGTAAAAAACAATACAGAGCACCACTACCACTACCACTACCACTACTAGTGCTACTACTACTACTACTACTACTACTACTACTACTACTACTACTACTACTACTACTACTACTACTACTACTACTACTACTACTACTACTACTACTACTACTACTACTACTACTACTACTACTACTACTACTACTACTACTACTACTACTACTACTACTACTACTACTACTACTACTACTACCACCACCACCACCACCACCACCACCACCACCACCACCACCACTACGCGCCAGCACCCAGTTGCGCCAACATTGTTTCTTATGTTGTGGGAGGGCGGAACGTGTCCGTTGTTCCTTTCAACATGGCCAGTCTTGTCGTCGACGATGCGAAATGCGTGGCGGGAATGGGACGCGGCGCACATCCCGCGCGGACGTCAATGCGGTGTCCTGGGGTATCCTCCACTCGCACTGAAATGCCCGCGCAGCCCCTAGTTGTGCCATCACTGTTTCTTATGTTGTGGGAGGACGGGTGGGAATGGGCATGCCATGCTTGACTCGCTCGAGCTGGCTAGCTTGATCCTCCCCCTCACCCTCACTCACCCTCACCCTCATCTGCCTCCACGTCATTCACAATAGCCGAACATCCTCCTGCCAGTCCTGATTCCTCCTCAGGACCATGATCACCATCACCATCGCCATCACCAGCACCATCACCACCACCACCAGCATCATCATCAGCATCATGATCATCATCATCATCATCATCATCATCATCATCATCATCATCATCATCATCATCATCATCACCATCATCATCATCATAGTCAGAATCAGCATCATCATCATCAGCAGCAGCACCATCATCATTATCATCATCATCATCAACATCACCACCACCATCAGCAGCAGCATCAGCATCATAATCAGCAGCAGTCTCAGGATTCATCATCATCATAAGCAGAAGCATCAGCATCCTCATCAGCAGCATCAGCACCAGCACCAGCCCCAGCATCAGCATCATCATCATCAGCATCATCATGATGATCAGCAGCATCATCATCGTCGTCATCAACACCACCACCACCACAACCAGCATAATCATGCACTGGAAGCGAAGCCTCCTCCTTCTCCTCATGATGTTCGTCCGCATTCCTCGTTCTCCTCATCCCTCGCCTCGTCATCCACGTCATCCTCCTTCTCCTCCTCCTCCTCCTCCTCCGCCTCCTCCTCCTCCTCCTGGTCCTCCTCACCTTGCAAGACCTGAACAGAGTCTGGGCCAAGCGCAGCGCGCGCTCTTCTGGAGAAGCGTCAGGCCCAGCTGTGAGGAAGCTCCCGGCGAATGCAGGCAAAGGGCGCCCAGAAGCCCCCAGAAATTCGCCACGAACGGTCATGTCAGTGTACAGCCACCGTGCTACTACCAGAAGGAACGCCAAACAAAGAACGATTTTCTGGCCACAGCGAGCCTCAATTACGAACGGGCTCCCCGACCTAGATCTAATGAACAGCCCGAAAACCAGAGCCCTACCTGTTCCCGGAGCGGTCATCTTTTCAGCGTCTTGAATCTACCCTACCGCAAATACTCACCACGCTCAAGGACCGCGCAATGGCGAGCACCGTGAAGGCCATGGCCCTGCGGCAAAGAACGACGGTGGCTCACCACTAGCATGCGGGCGACCTGGAGGTATTCGCGCTTGGTGTTACGTAAGCATGCGGCCAAGTGTGACGTGCGGCAAACTTCCACCTCGCTCTTGGGTAGTCGCGGGGCACAATACATGGTGCAAGCTGCGTGGTGTAAGCTATGGAATGCACTCGACATGGTGCTAAGTTAGAAGCACAAGTGATGTGACGCCACATAGGGGATGCAACAGATGTAGTGTACTCTATGCGGCACATGCTATTGTGCCAGGTACAAGCTATAGGTTTCAATATATGTGGTGCCATTAAAACAATGCAATGCCAACCCCACTGCTCACGCAGACATCCCACCATCCCACCCGCAACTTGCTTGGGAAAGCGGCCGCGCTGGCGCGCGCAAGCTCGCGCGCGGGGCGGCCAGCCGGTGTGGCACAACTGGTGCGGCCGCGATGGCGCTGACAGGTGGGAGCTTCCCAGCGCGTCTCAAAGGCCGCACTGGCGCTCGAGCACTTCAGTGCGGGTCGGTGACTCGGGCGGGCGCGATCTCATGATGACGTCGGCAGCGGCGGCAACGATGATGATAGTAGCGATGGTAGTAGCGATGATGACGATGACGACGGCAAGGCGAATGACGGCCCCGATACTGGTGACGATGATGACGATGATGATGTCCATGTGCCAGTGATGAAGGTGATTGGCTGGTGATGGCGGCAACGGCAGCGATTGACGATGACGATAACACCTGTGATGCGGTGGCGCTGATGAGGGTGGTGGTGAGGAAGTGCGCGCGCGCAGAAACTCAAGACATCTGGCAGACTTAGTGTTGAAAAACGCTTGGTGTTCAGATGTTCGCGAAGAATTCTATCCTGAAAAGGCTTGAAAAAACAATGGTTTTCAAAAGATTTCGACACGCGCGCTCGTGGCGGCGCGCGTGTGTGGCCCGCATGGATTTATTTGATACGGATTCGTGAACTGGGCGCATGCTAGGTCAACGCAGATGCACCGCGTGGTGAGATGACAATGCGTGTCCTGTACAAGATTGCCAAGTCCGCCGACACTTCGGCGTGTGGAAGACGCTCTCGTCGTCGTCGTCGTCGTCGTCGTCGTCGTCGTCGTCGTCGTCGTCGTCCGCGCCGTCGTCGTCGTCGTCGTCGTCGCCGCGGTCGTCGTCATCATCGTCGTCGTCGCCGCGGTCGTCGTTATCGTCGTCGTCGTCGTCCGCGCCGTCGTCGTCGTCAACGTCGCCGCCGTCATCGTCGTCGTCAGTTCCAAGGAAAGTGAGGAAGTTGAGGAAGCTAAGTCGAGAGAAGCCCTTCCCTTTATCCCCTCTCTGCCGTGGGGGAAGGGGGTCCAGAAAGAGCGGGGGGGGGAGCACGGAAGGAGGGTCCGGGGACAGAATACCGCCCCTGGGGTCCCGGCGGATCTCGGAATGGGTTGCCTGCGGGGCACACGGGGGAGATCCGGCCTTCAGGGTTGGCGCCACTGGCCGTAAGGCCTTCGCAATCAGCGTGTTCTCCTGTGATGCCAGCAAGTGCGCGCGAGCAGAACAACTTGCAAGAGTTGTGATGGATAACCTAAGCGTGTTCGATCTTTCTGTTGAAATGCTTGCGAAACTTATGTGTCTGGTATGATTTCGACATGTGCGCGCGCGTGTGGACGACGTGCCATTTGGTGCAAGGAGTTCTTGGACAAAAACAAATCTGTTGAGATCAACAAATTCGCGCGAATTTTGACAGGTATGAAGGCGGGGCGATACCAGGTCACCTGGGATGGTAAGAACGATAAGACAGATACTTATGTAATCTGCCATGTCCTAGGGGGTCTTGATAACCCTGAGGGGGACCTAATTCAATTTTCGACGAGAATGCACGTTGCGCCAATCATGTGCTGCAACATAAGGCATGCAACATGTGGTGGACGTTACGTGTTGCATACGACCTGGTGCAAGCTATGTGGTGCAAGCTGTGTGGTGCAACCAAGGTTGCACAAGCTACGTGGTGCAAGCCGTGTCGCGCAAGACACGGGATGTAGTCTACGCGGCGCAAGCTACGTGGCGCAATGACTGTGGCCAGTATTGGTAGCGGTAGCAGAAGCGCCAGCCAGCGCACGGGGCGACCACGAGGCGCCCGCCAGGCGAAAACCCGGAGAACCCGGGAATGCAGCTCGAAAATTTCAGCAGCAACACGCATGGAGAACGGTGCGCTTTCAAGATGTGGCTCTTGGACCTACGCTGCGCACACTAACCTTTGAAGTTCCAACAACAACACGGAACGGGGGGGGGGGCGGTCGCCCTCAAAATGTGGCCATCGCCTCAACGACGTGCACAGTCGTCCTCAGAAGTCCCCGACAGCGACGCGGCCGGGGGCCGGTGCGTTTTCCAAGCCTAGCTCTCGCCCGAGGCTTCCTCACGCTTCGTGATCCCAAACCTCCGAGACCTACGTCATGGCTTGAGGGCGGCTCCTTTTCATGACCGCGCTCTGGCCAGAAGCCTTGAAGCCACGAACGGTCATTCACTATCGAAGATCTGTCCCTGCCCGTGAGTTACCTAGTCGACCAGCTACATGCATCGAGGGCAACTCCTTCTCACACCCTTTCGTTTTGTAGGATTGCGCGGTCGCAGATATGAATCTGATCGTTGATTCACATCTCACATTACGTTCGGTTGTTGCGTGCAGGTACACGAGGCCCTTACGGCTACAGCGGGCGATGGCCGCAGTGAAAACGCCTGCCCGTCACAACTGGCGAAGGGGGCTTGGAACGAAAGGAAATATTGCAGCATGTTTGGCGCACGCTGGGCTTACTCTGGTCCCACCCTCTCCTCCCCGCCCCTCCTCCTCCTCGTCCTCCTCCTCCTCCTCGTCCTCCTCCTCCTCCTCCTCCTCGTCCTCCTCCTCCTCCTCCTCCTCCTCCTCGACGTCTCCTCACTGCGCGCAGGTGGAGGAGAGAGCATAAGAAGGCGGAAAGAGAAGAGAGGAGAAGAAGGAGGAGGGGGAAGGTGGGAGGAGGGAGAGGTAGAGAGGGAGGAGGGAGGAAGGAGGAGAGAGGAGGGAGGGGTTGGGAGACAGGAGGTGTGAAGCAGAGGGCAGAACCTTCCCCCCCTACATCTCCCGACTCCCCCCCCCACCCTTTCCCCCTCTTTCTCCGGCAGGCGGCTCAGGCCGGGGCTCCCGCTAGCCCTGCTTCAGCCTGGGGGGGGCGCGGGCGGGACTTCCGTGATCTCTCCCTCGGGCGCGGCCTGACCGACCCTTTCCGCGACGAGCCAACTCGGGCTCCCAAAACCGTGTGGTGACGGACCGCGTGGTGACCTCGGAATCCTCAACGACCTCACCGCGCGGTCTGTCACCGCACGGTCTTGGGACCTCAGAGGCTCCAGTCGCCCGAGACGTGCTCGAAGAACGACCCGAGTCCCGAAACCGTGCGGTGACCCCGAATCCCCACTG